AGCAATAATAATTCCTTTTGTTATGAACAATTCAAGCGCTTTTGATTTTCCCAGATATGGAATTGCTTGTTAGCAGGGATGGCAGGCAGCTCCTGTTCTCTCCTCTGACACTGAGGTTGATGCTTCCTCCTTTGCTTTCTGTTTCAGTTTCCATGTTCCCCAAAATTGATTTTCTAAATCTGTTGATGAAGTGCTACGAAATGGCACAAAGATGGTGATGGGAAGTCACGTCAGAATATTGTGGCAACAGTGAAAGCTGCAGGAAAGCTGCAGGGACAGGAGAACCATGTGGCTCTGATGCTCTCTCTGTCCACACCTGAGCCTCCTAAGCCAGACTTACTGGGATACAGTTGACTAAATTTAATCATTTGACCAAATTTAATCATTCAGTTTAGTCAGAGACCTCTGACTAGATGTGCCAGTCTGCAAGGAGAACAGTAAAGTCTGAGCTTTTAACCTTTGTCTTCCTTTACAATCGATTGAAGTCCTGGCTTTGATACACCTCTAGCAAAGAGGATAACAAGAGAAAAGTAAGGATAAATCACACTCTTTTGGCTTTGCACTGTAGATTGAATTGAAATTTTCATATCAAATGTGCCTGAGAATAAGGGCATGGTGGGTTTCTTAATATTCTAGAGTGGAATGGTTTGGGTTGTAAAGGACATTAGAGCTCATCCAGCTCCACCCCTGTCGTGGCAGGGACACCTTTCACCTTCCCAGGTTGCTCCAAGCCCCATCCAGCCTGGCCTTGGACACTCCCAGGGATTCAGGGATAGCCTGGAATAACCTGGAATAACCTGTTCTGATGTCTCTAGCCTCCATCCTTTAATGGACTTTGGATAAATATTTGCATCTATGTGTGGCATTGAGCATCCACAAATTCAAGCTGAAGAGTTCTGCAAGTTAGCAGGAAGTGTGTGAAGAAATATTTCCTTTTGTTTAGTCACACCCTGCTTGCATAGACAATGCAGTATTATTATTATAATTATTATTGGGACAATATTATTACTAAATGACAGCTTTTCTAATCTGTACCTGGTGAACTGCATAGAAACTTCCACATTTGTGTATTGAGACAACCCCTGGACACTCCTCTCAGACCTGGGCAACTGTGTAGGGTGAACCTGCACCAACAGCACAACTCTGTTTTTCTTGCTATTTCCCTTTTATCTTTTTAAAAATATATTCTAAGTACTTGAATGTCAGACAATGCAATTTTCTCTGTCTTTGGGGATGCTTAGGGGATGATGTAGCAAAAGCCCTTATGTTCTTGGGAGATCCTGGAGATCTGTGACAATTTATCTTTTCCAGGCACCTGGGAGCCCTTAAAACAGAATTGTGTTTGTTTTGAAGACAAACAAATCTAATATGGTTGTGTCTGCTGTGTCCCCCGGGGAAAATAGCTGAAATTTATTACTGGGGTCCTGGAGATGATGAAACTGTGAGGCATTATTAGTTCCTACAAATGGTGAGGAAAGCTTTCCAGGAGAGTTCATCAGGAAACCCTCCCTGTCCTTGAAATAGCAGTGGTGGCTTTTAACATTTACACCAAAAAAAAGTGTGCAGATGGTTCAGAGCATCACCACACAAACAAAAGCACAACACAAGCACCATCAAACTGGATTATTAGAGAATCACTGAGTGGTGTGGGTTAGAAAGGACCTTGCAGATAAATCTCATTCCATCCCCTGCCATGGGCAAGGACACATTACACTATCCCAGGGTGCTCCAAGCTCTGTCCAACCCGGCCTTGGGCACTTCCAGGGATGGCACATCCACAGCTTCTATGGGCACCCTCTGCCAGGGCCTGCCCAACCTCACAGGGAACAATTCCTTCCTAAATATTGATCTGAATTGCCGAGGTCTCTGGTGTTGAGAGGGCCCTGAGGTGTTAGAAAGTCTTTTTTCCCAGCCCCACGACCAAAGAAGAAGTCGAGATTCCGCAGCTGTGGTTCTCAAGGTTGTTTATTTTCTCTTATCTATGACATTCTTTCTCTGACCTTTTGAGATCTGTCCAGCAGGTCAGGTTGTGGCACACTGACCACCCTTGGGGTGGTGTTGGCTTTTTATACTAAAAACTACATGTTCTTTATTTACAATAATTTCCCAATACCTATCCCCTATGTTAGACAGTCTGTCTCTACTCCAAACCAATCCAGGAGTGTCACCATCACAGCAGAAGATGGAGGGCAAGAAGAAGGAGAAGAAGGACAGGACACACACAGATTCCTCCATCTTGCCTCTTGAACCCACATTCTAAATCCCCAAAATTCTAATTTTTCACCCTGTGGCAAATTCACTATCATTCTGCTTAAACTCTTGTGGCTTGTAACTCCTCACACAAAGCTGGTAATTGTTTCCATGGGTTAAAATCAAAGGCACAGGTGTTTGTGACTCCGTGCCAAGGGCTCTGAGCCCCCTGCCGGGGTCTCCAGTCCTCTAGGGCAGCCAGAGGAATGTCCTGGGTTCTGACACTGAATCTTCCCTCTTTTATTTTAAGTCCTTTCCTCTTGTCCTGTCACTATCTGCCTGTGCAGAAATTTCTCTTCCTTATTTTTTATAAGCCCCTTCAGCTGCTGGAAGAGTTTCACCTGCCTTGGGATTTGCTCTCAGGTTTTGTTGGGTGCTGCATCCCTGATCCAAACTGTTCACTCCATTCCCTGGGATGTGCGGAAACAAAGCTGAACTGTGCAGATGGGGCTCCAAAAGAATTCAGGGTAGATTAAATTTGGGGTTGCTGTCCCTGCTTATCAAATAAGGGGAAGCAGATCCCACAAAACTTCCTCTGTGCTTTCCATTGTCAAGAGTGAAGGAAATGGGATGAGAAATAAAATAACAGAATTGCTCCAGTGAACCACAGTTATTATAGTTTTTTTATTAAAAATTCACTTTTATTTTTGTTTTCTATTGGGGATAATACATTTCTTTAATATTGTGATGGGTTTTTGTATTATGAAGGGATGGATGCTTATTGGGGGTTTTTTGGGAGACTTATAACAGTAATTATGAATTTATTTTATAGATATAAGGTAGTTTTTTTAATTTTTGTGAGACTCTGTATGTGAGTCACTAAATTTTAATTGTTTGATTAAAATGTATAAGAAATCATAGTGATTTTTGGTTTTGTGATGTTTGTTTTTGCTTTTACTATACTTGTAATATGAATTGTTTTACTAATGTGTGTTAGAATGTCTGTTAGCTTTGATTGTTCATTGCTGATATGTTTTATCTAAAGGACAAGGTGATGGGAAAAGTTTTTAAAAGGTATTTTTTGGTATATAACTTCTTTATTTATATGTATTGGTAATTCAATAGTATTAAGTAGGGATGGATGGTTGTTGGGGCTTTTTTGAGGGATTTATAATATTAGTTATGAATTTATTTCATAGATATAAGGTAGATTTTTTAAATTTTTGTGAGAATATTTATGTGTGTTACTAAATTTTAATAGTTTGAGAAACCTAGTGATGTTTGTTTTTGTGTTTAGTATACTTGTAATATGAATTGTTTTACTAATGGGTGTTAGAATGTATATTTGCTTTGGTTGTTCATTGCTGATACATTTCATCTAAAGGACATTAGGTATTGGGTTAAAGTAGTTAAAAGGTATTTTTTGGTATATAACTTGTTTATTTCTATTTATTGGTATTATTCTATTTATTGGTAACAATAGTAATAGTTATTGTTGGTTTTGGTTGAATCATTATTGGAGTATTGTAAAAGCTGAAATTATCAGTCTGTATTATAATTTGTTGAGATGACAGATGGAAAAATTGAAATTCTAAGAATTTTATTACTGTCTTTGTTTATAATTAGAAAGTCTTGTTTTTGTTGTGAAGCATTAGTAATTCTTGAGGGAATGTGTTTATGGTAAAAATCTTTTAAAAACTATATTAATTTGGAAGTTGTAATTCTAATTGGGATGGTGTGAATTATAACATCTGTATTGTCTCACCTTCCATATGAGACTGAAAATGGAATAAAAGTTTTTAAGACACCTCTCAGTTGGCCCAGCTTTGGGTCAGAAAAGGGAATAATCCAACAATTCACCTCCACCCAAGGCACTGATTTTCATGGTGCTTTTCACTGGATTTGAACCTCAGCCATGCCCCTATAAAGTGATCTCATGAAATCTTAGGTTTATTCTCCTTTAATTGATATTCCCTGGCCACTGACTGCTGTAGGAATGAAATCCTGTATTGATTTCCAGAAATGGGTCACATCCTTATTTTCTTGCTGCTTTGGGATTGCCTGGATTGTGTTGGCTGCAATGTTCCTCTCATAAACTAATTTTTTTATTCCCTTCTTTTCCCCCCCTTTACTTTTTTCTTGTACTTTGCTGTACTAGACAGGTAAAGATAGAAACCAGAAAAATAGAAAGAAAATATTTGGATCAAGTCAGCCTGATTTATTTGACATTGTATTGTTTTTGACAAAATAATTTGGCTTGAATTCTCTGGAAATAAATAAAAGCAACACTGAGGAATGAACAGAGTGACAGAATATGAGAAACAGGTTTTAATTTGGTTTAGATTCCAGAGAGATTTTAATGGATTGTGCAAAGATTCATAAGAAACTGGTGGAAGATCAAACCAAGATGAAATTTATTCCTAATTCTTTAAATTCTTTTTGTATTTAGAGACACCCTTTTTCAGATATATGTGAAGAAGTAATTCAATAAAATAAAACAAACCTGTTGGAAATCACATTTTGACAGGGATAACAACAAAATATAAAAACCCCAAGTAATTTATGCAAGTTTTAATTACTTAATTAGGCCTTAGACTTGCTAGAAAAAAAAAAAAGGAGTAAAAGTAAAGAAAAAAAAGGGAAAGAAAATGAAGTTTGTGAGAGTTTTTTCTCAACTTTAAATGATATTTTTATTTTTTTCTTTTCTTTCTTTTGTCTTGCAATGGGTTCTTAAAACTTACTGATCACCTCATAAACTATTTCATTTTTGTAACTGCTTTTTTTTTTTCTTATTTTCCCCCATATTTCAGGTTGCAGCAACCCATTCCAACTGCATCATCAAAAAGGAGCAAGAGACTTGTCTGGAGAAGATCCGGAGGGCGACGGCCCTGAACCCTCTCAATGATTCCTCCCCAGGTGAGTCTCAGCCCCTGCACCTTGAGCTGACCATTTAAAGGGATTTTCACCATTTCCTGGGATGCCTGGAGGGTGAGAGGGGTTTCATGGTGAGAGGAGCATCGGTGCTGCAGAACGAGCTTGGGGAAATTAAAACCAAAAATTCAATCAGTGGGGGTGCATAAGAACCATTCCTGGTTGTTATGAGAGGTCGGGAATTTGTTTCTTTGCTTAACGTTATAATATGTCTATAAAAATAATAATTAAAAAATTAAAAAGAAAGGATTGCTGGATGATTTTTGCCTGGATGACAGCAGCTTTGGGGACAGGATGTGACACAGCTCACCACAGCAATAATTCGGCTATCTCTCCCATGATCTGAGGCCCTTTGCAGGGATTATCCTTGTGGTGCCTGTAATCTTGATGAAGGATACTCGTGCTTTTGCTGAGATAAGAAACTGAGGCAGCGAGCAAAGAAATTTATGGTTTAATATCCTGTCCCATTTCCTTCTGGCTGGAACTGTGGCCAGCACCAAGGAGAGAAGGGCAAAGAATGACAAAGAAACTAATTGGAAATCAGGGTCCATTCACTGAGCCCTGTCCAAGCTGCCTCTGCTGTGACTGGAATTGATAAAACCGCAGAGAAAAGCTGATAGAACACGTTGTGTGTGATAAAAGGGGGGAGCTCTGTCTCCCCTTTTCCTTGCAGCACATTTTAGTGCGGAAGCACAGGAGATCAGAATGCAGGTGTCTTGTGTTATCACTGTCCTCTAAAGCTGACCATAAAATTCAGGAATTTTAGGTGCTGGGAGCATTTCCATCAGAGAGGAGGGTTTCCATCAGGGAGGGTCCTGCTATTCATCCCATGCATAAATTCATTTCTGTGCTGCTGCCCAGCTCTGGGCAGAGGAACTGTGGGGTGTGGTGGAAATGAGGAAAGCGCAGTGGACCTCAGGCATCCATCCCACCCCCAGGGATGTGGTTTTGAGACCCTCTTTGTGCTTTACAGGAAAGCTTCCCAATTTTTCCCTGCTCCAGAAGTGGCATGAGCCAAGGAAAAAAGAGGAAAAAGGGGAAAACAGGGGGGAAAAGGGGAAAAAAGGGGAAAAAAGGGGAAAAAAGGGGAAAAAAGGGGAAAAAAGGGGAAAAAAGCCTTTTTCTTGCCTCCTACCCCCAGAATGGTGCCAGAGGCTGATCATGAGACCTTTTCCTTATTGTTTGGATTCAGGAACTCATAGAACTCCCCAGGTGAGAGGAGACCATTTCACCAGGCAGTTTTTATTCCTTTATCACCCGAATCCAGAATAACCCTGACAGCTGGGCACTGTTCACACTGAGCTCCTCCTCCTGCCTGCTCCCAATGGAAAGGACACAGCTCAGAGAAGGAGGAAGCCCAGAGCCACTGGGAAAGGCTTTTGCATCTCGATGTGATGGAATTGCGTCACCCACTCAGGCAGGAAGGGACCGGATCCTCTCAGGCTCCCACTCTGAGCAGAGCCCAGCTGCTCCCTGTTCTGCTCCCCCAGTATCTGCAGGCTGAATCACTGGGAAGATTTTCCCAGGCTCATTGAGCATCTTTGAGTTGTTCCCCACATCCTGTGGCAATGACTTCCACTAAGCTGACGTGGCTTAGAGTAGAAAAAAATCCCATATCCCCTCTAAGAGATTAATTTTCCAGCGAAGGATTCTGGTGTATTTCTTGTTTGAAAGCCCTTTCATTCCATGGATCCGGCTTGCTGGCCTTTTTCTCTGCATATTAATTAAATTTTTTTAGATTTTTTGTTGATATGTTTTAAATTTGTTTCATTTCACCTCTGGGACTGCAGCATTTCACTCTAAATCCTGACCTCCAGACTCATCTTTCTTTATTTCATGATGCTTATTTCAAGCCAGATCCTGCCACCCTCATTCTCAACAAATCTTGATCTCCTAAGTTAAAAAATATCAAAAAAATTCTATCACCTCCTTACTGGTTGAATTTGTAGATGTTTCACCACAAAACTCCCTGAAGATGAAGTAATTCTCCAGAAATTAAGCAGTCATAAGTGCAGGCTGTTGATTCCTCTGGAATTTCTCCTGCTGCACACAAATGATTTTCTATTTGGGAAAAATGAAAATTGCCCCATGTAATTTTCTTATATTCACCACTAAGACTTACTAATGATAACAGTTAATGAAGAAATGTTATCAGCTTGTTTCTTTCATAGAAAGATAGGGAATAGCTCCCTTGCTTGTCAGAAATAGCTGAAAGAAGGGAGAAATCCCTCCTGACTGATGAACAAAATTCTGCTTATTCAAAGGAGAAACACACAATTACCTCTTTGACTATTCCTGCCTGAAAATTCCCATAGAAAAATTCAAAATATAACATTTTTGTGAATTTATTTCTCCTCAGTGGGGCTGCAAGGTCTGAAATGGGATCATGAACTTTTAGGAAGTCTGTAGGGGGTTGTGAACAGTGTCAAGTTACTGGGACTTAAAAGAAAAATCCACCTTTTATGACAGGTGACACAAAAAGGGTCAGGTACAGAAAGTGGGTTTGGGGCATGAGCAGTCTCTATATTCTGTATTTCTGCAGTATCTAGAATAATATTATAAAATATTAGGGTTCCTGAATCCTTCTCCAAGGTTCCCACATGGTGCACAATGGTAAATCTCTGCTCTTTAGGGCCCTTGTTTTCTGTGCTAGTTTGAGAAGCCCCATCTTGGGTGGCAAGAGAGGAACAACAACTCCTGGTTCCTCCATTTTTCAAGAATTCAGCTCTGCTGCCTTTGCTTTACCCCCTTGCTGTGTTCAGTGAACACAAACATCGACCAAATGGGGTTTCTGATGTTTCCTCCTTTCTCTCCCACTCCACCTCTCATGCCCAGATGTTCTGCTCATTATTTCTTTATTCTTCACAGCAGTATTCTCTCCTTCTGCTGCTGGGCCATGCCTTTAATGCTTCAGAGGCAATGATTGCCTTGAGATTTTCTGTTTGGTTTATTTTTTTTCATTAGTTTTATGATGGATTTTTCCTCTTAAATGCTTTAAATTCTTCAGGAAACTTTATATGAGAAGAAATAGGGGGCATGTGCTGACCCTGTGTGTCCATTCCTGTTCAGTCATCGCTAACAGCCTGAATGGAAAAGAGAATTTGAAGGAAATGAAATCTCAGCAGGACCCAGAATCTGACTCCCTTGCTCTGGAGGAGGAATTAAACTGATAAAGGGGAGTAATGAAAGCCAAAGGCAGACAAGAGAGGAAGGAGAGCAGTGATTACTTCATACTCAACTTCCCCGGGCAGTGGTGCCAGGCTATTTCTTACATCAGTGTTTCCAATTTCCTTTGTTTGAGTTTTCATCCCTACTGTGGAGCTGCCCCTGTTTGTGCTGGACCCTCTTCTAGCTCTCACCAGCCCTCCAGGTATTTTCTGCCAGATCAGAACTGATAAATCTCACTGCTGATCCACATGCATCCTTTTTTTTTTAATTTCTATTTCTCCCATCCAGACTCTTCTGACCTGTTCCCAACCCTGGGGCTAGGAAAGACTGACACAGGAGTTACTCAGATGTTAATGACAGTTTCCTGGGTTAGGTGCATTTGGCAGGGGATTTATCTAATTTGATGTTGATACCTGCAATTGCATCTGCACTAGCAATGAGCAAGTCACCTCAGTTCCTCAGTTTGTAGCTCTGGATGTCTACCAAGCAGAGCCTGAGACATCATTTATTTCATCCTCAACGTAGATTAGATTATGCCTATTTTTCTTCTCTGGACACATGGAATAAAAGGTGACCATGTGAGCTCTAAATAATCACATTTAGGTGTCTATATTTGGTAAGAAATATCTCACCTTTAGCTTCTGTCTTTGTTATATTGACTAGATAATGCTGGAGGTTCTGGATTATCCCCAAAAATCTCAATGGGATTTAGGATGGAATTCTTTCCATCTCAATGAATTGTGATGGGAAGAACCCTGCTGATGAAATGGAGGACCATAGATTGGCCATGAAATATTTTTTCCAGCCTGTTCCCTGTCTTGCTCTCCACTGTTGGAAGCAAATATTGCAAACTTGTCCCTTGAGTGTGATGGGAAAATTCCCTGGGTGATTTGCAGATTTGTGTTTAAAATTTAGTGTGTAAAGTGCATGAAATCCACCAACCTGGAAAGAGCCAAAGTGAAAAAAGTGAACTCAGCACAAGAATTTGAATAGAAGTGATGAGGCCTCCTTGGTGATTATGTGGTTCACGACATGGAACCAAATATTGCAAACTTGTCCCTTGAGTGTGGCTCCCTCTCAAATGGTGGGAGAGTTCCTTGAGTGATTTGCAGATTTGTGTTTAAAATTTAGTGTTCAAAGTGCCTGAAATTCGCTAACCTGGAACAAGCCAAGGTGTGCCAAAAGTGAATTCAGAACAAGAATTTGAATAGAAGTGATGAGGCCTCCTTCGTGATTACGTGTTCACGACTCACTGTCAAATCAATCTAACTTCAGAACTCCATCATCTCTTGTTTTCCTCCTGCCCTTCCTCTGAAAAATGTAGAGAGGAAGCAACATTCCCAGGCATGTCTAGGAATTGAAAGGAAATAAGGATTTGAAGGGATGTGATGATTCCTGCAAGGAATCACATTGAGTTCTTGTTAAAAGTTACCCTGTAAATCAACAGGAAAGAAACTGGTGAGGGCACCAGGGGGTAGGAGATGGTAATTAGGAGGCAGCGTGGTGATGCAAGGAGAGATTTTGAATTATGTTTCCATCACGCAAAGATGATGGAGCAGGTTTTTTTTTTCCAGTTTCACATTTTTTATTGAGTGTCTCATCAGCCTCCCATTCTCTCAGAGCCTTTGAATTATCTGCTGTTATTTCCCCTGGCACCACTGGGAAGACATTACTTCACTGTGTCTCCCTCACTGAAGCAGCTGTGCCCAAGAACAACAGGACTAGGATGGAACCCAAGCTGATGAATTCCTAGAGCTGGAAGGGCATAGATAAGAAAATGTCTCCACAACCTGAAAGTTTTCTCTGTGGCTCCTTTT